AGAAATGTAGGTCACCAAAGAACGACTATAGCTGTTGAACGGCTAAAATCGAGACCTAGATAGAAAGTCTGACGCCAAAGAACTTCTGACAGCCGACGGGACCAAAGAGCTTCAAAGCAACTATTCGTCTCTTGTTGTATAAACAGAGGCAGTAGTTCCACAAGCCTAGCTCACTGAAAATCATTTTACTAGAGCATAAGGTCATTTCAATGAAATATTAAACTAATGCAAACTGGATAATAACAACAACATTATTACCGCCCATAACAATTTCATTAACAAAGCACGCCTACGGAGGGAGTAGAAAACCGGCACTGAAAATTATGCGCGCAGTGACTAAGCTACACCAGCCTACGATGAGCGGTCCATTAACGTATACGCAAACGCGAAGAGTGATCATCGGTCCTCAGTCATTCGCTAACATAGTCCATACCGAAAATGATTCGCTGTTCATTTCCAAGCGGCAAAGTCTCGTTTCAAAGCATCACCATCTAAGCTTCAGCATAAACCTAGCTGACGCGTAAATGTAAAACTGGAAAATAAGTACAGTACAGAGGCTTATATTTAGGACCAGACATCGCCATCTAATACCGGTTTTTAATGAACAGCCATCAGTTTCAATCAAAATAGAAATCAACATATTACCACTTTCGACGGTAACGTATATAATACCAACAGATGACTTAAATTCGGCATGGAAAGGGGGAGGGGGTAACGGGGTTCCAATACTTTGTGTGAGCCTGATTTGACGTCGGATAAAAGTAGGCAGTCTCGACGAATGTTTCTAGGGCAGATAAACAATGCTTGGATAAGTCAGAGGAAAAAGTGCCAAGGAATTCTCTCCCGTCAAGGAAATATCGGGGCTGTAAATACCATTTCCGTATCACCACCCGCTTTTTCGCAGCATCTTCGGGACAGCTGTGCAAGGACAGCAACGGGCACTCGAAATCCTTCAGCCATCGGACAACTGCAAACGTCTGTTAGCATAAACATTGCAATGGCAATAACGCGAATTACCTTTATAC